GTATGTTTTTTATTCTTTTACGCAAAAATGGCTGGACCGATTTGGTTGAGATATGTAGAGGTTAAACTTTAAGGATTATCAACATACCACGCGGGCAAAGCCACGGGTGGAACCTAGTATGCCATAAATAAATTAAAAAATATATAAAAAATGGTAGTATGATGTGTTTATTGTTACTTGGCTTCAGTTGTTGTTGTTCAGTTGAAAAACAAAGGCAGAAAACACTTTAGCAACTAGTATCAGATCAATAAAAGTAACAACAATGTGATACTTTGTATTACATTGTAAGTATAGAGTTTGTAGTTATTTGTTCATTCCTACCTAGTACATGTTAAATGTGAATTTCGTATAATTACAGTCACGTATTTGATATATGAATCTGTAAAGTAGTGGGTTAAAGTATTATGAAAATCATATTTGACACCCAAATGTGTAAAGAATAACATTAACTAACAACTGTAACAATAATAGCGTACAAAATAAATTAATTTTTTCTCTGTTTTTAATAAGTGTAGATACTAATTTAGTTCATGAGAGTACTATAGATGTAGGCTGCTTATGTGACGAGGTCCCGCCAGCCTGCACCCTTCAGGCGACGATCGGAAGCGCACCGCTTAGCCGCACATCCGGCTCCACCGTCACTAGACAAGCGCCACAAGAGGGCGCCACTTGATACCATATCCTGAATAAATAAGATTAATGTACTCCCTGTGGAGGTGGGGAGGTAGCGGCCAGAAATAATAACCGTGTGTAAGCCGAGCACATTATGACGTCATTATTGCCTTGCCAAGTGTTTGCCTCGTCTCTTCATACAACTTTCGCAGTAGGTAATATATGATCTAAGTAAGACGCACGGTTTGTTGAGGGTATCGGGAATAAATATGTCTTGTATGATAATCGACTGTTATGAAATGTAAGTATATGAAGATTCCATTTAAAATTTCGTAGTCTAAACGTAAAGGACAAAAGAAACTACATGAAATAATATGATCCGCTGGGGAATATACCGTACGTAGATAGGCATATTATAATTGTATGTGATCCAATCAGCTAAAAACTAAAACAACAGCTGTGTGAGCGGGGGAGGCGGGGCGAGGGGTGGGGAGGGGGGGGCGAGGGGTGGGGAGGGGGGGCGATACGTATCGGGACATAATGTGGCGTTCAAAACAAAAGCCAATCAGTTTTTACGCGACACGTAGCGGGCATTAGTTGCGGACTCTGCGATCGATGTCACGACCAATCTCCTCATTTAGATAACCACTGCCGGGAAACTACGGCCTCACTATTTTATTATTTCATATCGAAAGTTTTAGGAGGGAAATTGCCGGAGTACTGATTTATAGGTCATGTTCAATATAATGATGTAAATGCGGGATATAATCTACTGTGGGACCTTTCAGTGTATCGTTGACATAATTCCTCAATAGATGTATCTATATAGTTTTTAGAAAGTGTGAGTCCAAACAGTTCATTGCAACTTAAATAGACTTCGTCCATTATAATTCGGGTACACGTGTATTTGTATTGCTTAATGCCATTAGACGTTTGTGTCCTTAGTGGTCAGTGCTCATACACTATTCACTAAAACCACTTAATATTTCACTTAACATACAAAAAGCTTACAACCAAACGACGCGACGCGACGTAGCATCAAATGAAACAGCTACTAAAACCTACTTATGGCTATAAAAACATCTCCAGCAAAAACCGTGTCCACTTTACAAGCTCCGTAAATAATTCGTGTCACACCCGGACCGCTTGTTTACTCATTACGAGCTGTATAACAAGGCAATAAAGTCGACATCCGCTTGTTAACGGGGTTGATAGAAGTCACGTGCGCGAGTATCGGTGGTCATAGTTTACGATAATTCGGGATATTCGCCGGAGGCGGAGTATGCGGGATGTCGCGGGATGTCCTGGTTTTTGTGTGTGTATTGATTGTGATGTCCTCTTTCAATTGTGACGTGGATAATGAAATTTAATTAAACAATATCTTTATTTCAAAATTTTTTAAGCAATATATTTTGGTGAAACACAAGCGAGCTTTTAAATTGATTGATAGATACACTAAAGATGGACTGCACGTGATGCGAATACTGAAACCATACCTTCAGGACTTGTTTTCAGTAAACCTGTCCAAAATCTAAATAGCTTGATGTAATATCGAAACATAGAAGCTAAATGAAAAACAACAAATAACTATTATATGTTACTCAGATAAACCAATGATCCATTTCTCAAGAAAAAATATGTAATATTATTTAAGGTAATGTTACAAGCGCCATCGAAGGCTTTCCATCGATAGCAGATCATGTTTTAACTAAATGAAAACTGGATATAGAGCCCTGGCTTTTCTAGGAAAACAAAGAATTATATTATAAAAATTGTGGAAATTATAAAGGTTTATTCATTTAGCATGACGATTAAACAATCGCAGGCGCGTAGTCCTTGATTTATGTGCGTCGTACGTCACCGCGCACTGTATCGCTGCCTGCCGACATTAGCCTGGCTCGCGCGGCTTCAACCGCTACACAGACCATGCTCTATCAACTATACCATCACCTTACAATTCCTGTAATGGAAAATTGCTGTTTTTAAATCATAAATAATGGAAATCGTCATTAATTGACGATTTTTTTCCTAATATTTCTGTTTTCCGTAAAATAATATCACCTAAGACAAAACTTATCTTTCGTGCTCTAGAGAAAACTAGTCAACAAGAAAACGCATTTATTATACTGGAAGCATTCGCAAGATTAGTCGCACGTGCGCGCGGTACGTGCGACTGTGAAGCAGAAACAAAAAGTTCGGGCGCGCTCCGGTCGCCGCTGCGCGCTGCCTCTAACCCTTCGCAACCCAACGCGCGCTGAACCGTTGAAAAACGCTAAAATTCGCCGCCAGAAATGAACCAACGAACGGTGAAATTACGGGCGCGGACGAGTTTGCTCGCGAGAAAAAATAACCCCCGAAACGGGCGAAGCAATTTGTCTTAAGTGGCTAAAACAGTGAAATATTCGGGAACTTTTAAAGCGTATTAAAGTTTAGCCGGACCTTTTGTAGATGTGAGGAGCGATAGGGCCGGGACGGTTAGCCGCGATTTTCCAGAGGTGATGACGCGTTTCTACGCCTCGTTTTTAATTAATACGAAAAGTTGGTCGTGAGGCGAGCGGCGCCCGGCCCGCCTTATTGTACACTTTAATTATATAAATACACGGCCCCTAATGAACAGGAGGCGACACCTCAGCGCCGCGTCTCTTAATTCCGCCGAGGGTAACTTTTATAAATACGGGAAATATGGAATCATAAAGTTAGACAATGAGCTCGTTATGCGAATGAAATATTTCTGACTTGAATAAATTAAAAGGGACCGTGGCAAGCGGCTTACAAGAGTGTTTACCGAGATAGCCGCGCGTGCGGGTGTACTGGGTTTTTCCTAAATTGTTTTATTGCGTATTTGTGTCACGACTCATATTTATTTCGAGTGCGTACATTCGTACATCCGTCACCGGCGCGGCGCCAGTAATACGCGGCGTTATTACACACAGAGCCGTTTATCGGTCGTCGCAGATGTGTACTACTTTAACTATTACTATTTAAAATGTCGTATACCGTATACAGTGTCTGAAAAATATATCTTAAAAGTTTGCGGATAGAATGTTAAGTTGGTATAACAGTTTTAACTAAGTAGACAAAACTCGACGGCATTCTATTACGGAGCTTATTTGCGGAGGTAGCGACTTGTCGCGGCTGCGGCGCAAGTCGCGTGTCGCGCCGAGACACGCCATGAATTAATTATAGCGCGCGGCTCTTGTCTCTTTAGACATGGAGTTTTGTCGCGCGAGCTAAACTTGTGCACTTAGTGGCACAGATTCGGCGATATAAATAAACCATGCGCCGCAACTTGCGCTATTTATGACCACAACACTTTTCCGTATAAACAAGGAGTTTGTAAGGATTAAATAATAAAATAAAACAAACTTTCATCATTTGCAACCAGCACTTCCGATGTTTGTAGCATTTATTTCAGTTACACTTTCTAAATAATTGATGTGAAATCCCAGAACATGACGCTAAACTAGACTTAAACTTCAAGTCGTAAAGGAAATCCAAGACAACGTAAACAGAATGTAAGTACTTAATCGATGTAACTAACAGCAAACACCACTGATTGTAATATTTAAGCGATAAGTTACACTCGACCCGCTGACGCTCATGCATTCGCGTCGGTCGCGTCGCCCAGCACTTGCATACAACATCAAAGCTGGCTCGTTCTCACAAATTACTTAACTCGTACTCTGTCACTAATCGCATGTCTACAGTGAATAACTTGTTACCCATCATGATACACTGAGCCATTTAATCGAGCTGTTTTTAACCCAGCCAAAATGTTTAAGCTGAGGTAAAGTAAGAAAATTATAATGCAATGGGGCTGACAACACTAAGGATTATTGTGAGAACGTGCATCATTTTATCAAAACATTAGTAGTAGTCAAAAAAGTAGTCAGAAAAGTATTATCTGCTTTATATTGTAACACGGGCTTGAGGGCGCAAGCCCCGGCCTGGAGCAGGAGAAGAAATGAGATGGTTTTTAGTCTGTAAAAGACACTCCCTCTCGTCTCACCCAGCACTCTAAATGACTTTTCTCATTATTTTCTCCACTCATTAAAGCTTATTTGTAACTATTGTAACAGTGTGTGCACGCACCTGGAAGTAAACAATTATAGCGGGAAACGTATGGAGACGAGACTCCCAAGAGATTAGCTTGTTATTAAGTTTTATAAGTAGAAATGTAGGTGCAAATAAATAGCTTCACGTCGCTAATTAAAAACAGACGTACGAGTGCTAATTAGCCACGCGACTGAATAATTTATGTACAGTCGCGCAAGTAATCACTACAGTACATGACATTGCTAGGTTACACGTCCATGTGACGGCAATCCATTTAAAATGTGCTAAATAAGTAGCAATGTGACGAATTCATTGTTGAATAATATAGTTTATCACAGCTGTCGAGTACCGACGGTCGCAGACGAACCAGATTTGCTCCACTTTTGAGTTTCCTTTCCTTCGCAAACTTTTATAGACCTACAAGTACTGATAAGAGCACTTTCTTTTGAAAATAGTTTCTTTGAAGTAAAGATTGTGTCCGGAATTTTGAACAGACTGGTTTATGAGAAAAGTGTTTAATGGTAGTTTTATTTTTTAATAATGTTTCAGTTTTACAAGTTAGTGAGATGTCGTGAAACGTTCTTTTTGAAACAACTTTTACAGGTTTTTACCCTATCGAACTAACAAATATAACATAGAGTAAATGTTTGTTTTAGGCATATACATAATGCTACTGACTGACCTGTACAGCGGTATCCCGGCGTCGTCTCTGAACCAGAACACCATGTAGACCTTGTCGTTGGCGGCGGTGCCGAGGTCGCACGGGAACTGCGCCACCATGCCCTCCACCGCCTGCACGTCCACCGTCCTCACTCCCGCTGCACACAAACAGAATAATGTATATTAATATCATTCATTCAATCATATAATATAATATGTTTTATATGGTTGAAGGCATTTTGACCGTTATTACACGTAATCATGGAAAAGTTTGTGAACTCAATATAATTCTGTGGCATTGTGTGTCCATATGGACTCTGCTTACCCCAATCAAGAAAACAGGCGCGAAGGTATAAAAAACTAAAGCAGTCCAGGATGCAAGGCAAAATAAAACTATCACAACTACATCTGATTTTAACCAGATGATGCACTAATGCAAGCTTTATGATTTGATCTAGTAAAACCTAATAAGATTAACACAAAATCCTTTTCACTTTTTCTACAAAACAAATAATACGTTTAAGTACAAATACTAAATTGATCAATTTGTCAGCAACTATAAAATCCATTTTGCTCTAAATGTCCAACTTTCGCTGACCGTTTACTGGCTGTAGTACTTAAATCCCCATTCGTTGAGCGGCGACTCTAATAGATTTACTCCATTCAATATGAGCTTTACATCTGAGCACGTTACACTGGGCTCTGCGAGACTCGGAACGTTCGACTGTGTATAGAATTTTACTTAGAAGTGAACCGCAGCAAGGCATCCTGCTTCTTTTCTTATTCAATGTTAAGTTTAAACAAGAATTTGCCAAAACTCGTTTGTAGGCCGCGACCTAATCAACCTCTACATGCGTGTAGCGAGCGTGCGATGCGAGTATAGTTACATATAGCTCGGAGCGTCCCGAGAGCGAACAGCAACAATACAATAATGTACACTCCCCGGGAGTCCATTAGTATGATAACGAGATACGGAAGTCTACCAAGATCTAAGTTCGGAGCCCCGGGATTCGGCAGAACTTGGGCCAACATTCTCACAATTATGTGAGCTTGTACGTATATGACGTATTGTGCTTGTGTTCCCAGTATGTGCACCACAATCCGGAGACAAGGCATTAGCTTTACTTGTTTGATACTTGATATTGTTTCTAAATATGTGATTGCTTAGACTCTATCTTTTATTTAAGTTACATGAATACATAAATATTAATAAATAACATGTATAAAACATATAAAATTTTCAATTTCACCAACTTGTTCAGAGAGGCCGTTAATTAGAACGGGAAGTCCCAAATTGGTAGAAGTGTCCCGAAGGAGCAGTGGCGGGTGGCGGCTGTGGCACCTGGCAAATAAATCACTCAGCCTGTCGCCAAACGTTATAATTTAAAGTCGCTAGGCGCTGGGTTGAGTGCTCCTTCCGTCCGTCTGTACATCTGTGTGCCAGTGTTGGGAGTGGTAAATCCATTCACAGTAATCCAACGTAACCCATTGTGCCAGTAGCCCGCAGACACCAGCCCCTTTGTGCACCTAGTGCCTAGGTTATTAATTATGTCCCAGCATCTGTTTAGTCTGTCTGTCTCGCCGATCCATTCAGACAAACTTACTCGGATTGTTCAAATCTTTTGTCTCTATTATTCAGTTGCAAGCGGTTTGCTTTTGTTTTACAAAGAGCGATGCACGTGCTCGTTTTGTTCGTTCCAAGTGTTTGTGAGGGATTTATTAAAGCACGTTTTTGCGAAAACTAATCGTTTGTTTAATGGCTTTGATAAATGTTGCATTAGAACAACACGCCAGGCTGTTGACACGTAGCTTAGTGGCAATTTATATAGATAGCAATTTAGCGTCGCGTACTAAGTAGCTTTTTTACTACTTTGCCTATGTAGGTACTTCAAATAAAATGTGCTGTGTTTTGATGAATAGTTTGTCAATATCCGCACTAAATATGAGAGTGACTTGTAAAGAAAGTGGTGACCCATAGTAACACAAGGTGCGACATTTAACGAGTAAGACAGCAGGGTCGCTCCACAGGTTCCCGTAACAAGACGCGCCGGTTTGTCACGGCGCGGCTGCAGTGGGGCAGGGCTGGCGCGAGCTTTATATGAATATCATGAATACCGTAATATTATGTATCTGTCATGTAGATGTCAGTCACGTCCTTATCTGTAGGTAATAGTCTTCGTAGCATCAATAATTCGGAAGATACATGACATTACTTGAAGCGACGCTTCGTACCGACTCCTAATGTATTCTATAACTGATTTAGTCTTGGTACTATGTTATTTCAAGGAAGACAACAAATGTAAATTGTTTTGAATTGAAAGGATAACTAGAAGTGTGACGTTTGAAAATATCGAAACATTAAATATAAATTCTTAGTTAATTCTTAAAGTATGCAAATGGAAATTAGGCGTGTTAAACATATTATGATAATAATATGTAGGTAAACGCGTGTATTTCATCAGAAAAAGTTGGATCGAAGAATTTAAGTCTGCACTCGAATAAATGCACTGTAATGAAAAAATAAACAAAGTGTGTTCTCATTTCCATATCAATAACTTTAACTGCTAGGGAAAATCAATCAAGAGTTTTTCAGTGCGACAGCCCTAGCTGTCAACGCGGTAGTGAGCGATCGCCGAATTTGTTGGTCTAATGAGGAGGCTGCAGGGTTGTCACCCAGCGGTACATCACGCCACCACCCATCTCGAGATGAATGAATTTTTAATCACCGACATTGGAACAGCCGTCGCGGCCATTTGTATTACACGTCAATATTACTTCACGCTGAAATGGGCTTTAATACAGAAATTGATACGGACGTTATTACGAAAACATTACCATGTCAATTTATTTCTTCACAATGACGTGGTATGTTTCCGATATGGGGCTAACATGTGAAACATTTTTACGAGTCTGACTTTTATTATTTCGCAATGTAATTTCAAATTCAATTGGTCCATGTTTATAAATAACATTATCTAACACAAGCACCGCAACTGGAAATAAGATACTGACTTTGGAGCAAAACCATTTCATATTCATAAGTAACTAAAACATGGTTGTCATCTCTGAAACTGTCCCCGAGATAATGCACGACACAGCTCGGCTTACCGACATGTACTATCTAAGTTAAGCTCTAAAATCGTTCTCTTCAACCAAATATATAGGTATGTATGTATAATAAGAAGCAGTAAAAGTTTGTATGAAACACAACCATCGTCTTCTGAGCTACAGCTCATTTCTTGCAATACTGTAAATATATACATAATATATGTTGGTATATTATAAAATTTACTTACGCGGAAATTCATTTACGTTTACAGATATAGTCAGCCAGCCCTATAAATATCGCAATCACGATCCATCGAAGTGTATCAAATGAAGCAAATTCAGATTTTTGAGTGATGGCTTTCAGAATCGGCATTTATCGGAAAATCCGATAGTTAATGTAAATATTATTTGACAAAATCGCTTCAGCTTTTCGAAATTATAATGTTAACGTGAAAACTTATTGATGAATTAAAATCGGAACAGTCGTTTATGAAACCGTGTTAATTAATCGGTCGGTGCGACTGGTATGCCGTAGTACCGGATTGCTACCGGAGAGCAGCCGGATTGCAGTCGGGAACTGCCGGCTGCCTGTCCACTTACATAGTACCAATTAGCGAGGTACAACCCGCTTTTAATTACGGCTCGATAATTGGTCACGTAACAAGAATTATAGGCCATAAGCCCTGAATGTTGAATTTAAAGCAATCTGGTTGGCGCCATTGCTGTACCGATCACTGTCTGTAACTACCCTAATTTTATGTAATAATTAACTAGCACTAAACAAAAAATCTAATGTGTTGCTGTGTAGTGTCTCACCTCACCCTATAAATATCGTAAGATTATTTATTATTATGCACTTACTGGTGCATATTAGTTAGAACAACACGTCTCGACATTCGAACGCCCTACATTGCAGCTGGGCTGCTCGTAGGCGCATACTACGCCGTAGCCGTCGTAGGCGTACTACGGCCGTCGCCACGAAACCGAGCATAAAAAAATGTAAAAGAATTCATAACGACAATCGGCATTCATACGTTGCCCTACATGCAGCTTAAACAATAAAGGATGTTTAATGATCTGCCGAGCAATACTAACCAGAAAGGACACATGGGTAGGCCGCACCAGCACTCATACTGACAGAATACGAGTTATTTAAATTATTCATGGCACATTCCACACGATGCCCGCATTCACAATAATAAACAATAATGAAAAATGTCACGATATAAAAATATTAATATGAGCCTACATAAACGTAAATTTATGTAACAGCAAGCCTCGTAGCCTACGTAGAAGTTAATTGTTCAGTCCCAAACTGCTAGAAGTTTTAAAACTTTACAATTGTGACTTTATAAAAAAGCGTCTATATTGTCCGAGTAGTCCAATGTTTATAAATAAACCGTATTAGTGTTGGAATAATGTTATTTAAAACGTTATTTTTAACGTTATAAGCAGCCGATGATTTTGAAATGTACATAAGAATACGCATACATATATATGCCTTGCACATACAGAGTTAGCAGTAAACATAGTAGTGCTGCATCGGGTTTCGGTTTCGTCGATGAATGTTCGATAATTGAAGCGTCCGTTGTGCCGAGTGTGCTCAGCATACGAGGAATGTTCCAAACGAACACGATTACTGACCACTGCTTGCACTGCCTTGCCTTATTTCCTGAATACATATGCACATTCTGTAGTTTTATTTCCATGTTTACAAAACTCATACCCATCCTAGACTATAGGAGCACAATGCCCTCTTGCAAGCGTGGTAGAAACATACGATGTTATTAAAAATATGGCTTTAGTTGGCACACAACAAAAACCGGGTAAGCCGCAAACAAAGCAACACAGAGGAAGGCAAGCGATGGGTCGGTCGGCCGTACATTGGCGCACATCGCCGGTGGGACACAAACGACTCGTGTATCTTTACGGATTCCAATTAACAAATGGAGTGTGTATGTCGGTGTGACGTGTGGCCTCCGTGCTTTTAATTACCGCCGAGTGGCGCTTTGTTGGGCCTGACACCTCGGTCGCACCCGATTGCGATTTAAATCACGCGGACAACATACATCGCTGGGCGGCCATAGCACGCACATTGTGAATCACAGTA